GGCCCAGCTACCCCATCCCCAAAAGGGGCCCCCACTCCCCCAGCTGCAAACCCTCCCTCCCCAAAAGGAGGCCCAGCTACCCCATCCCCAAAAGGAGGCCCAGCTACCCCATCCCCAAAAGGAGGCCCAGCTACCCCATCCCCCAAACGGGCCCCCACTCCCCCAGCTGCAACTCCGCCTTCCCCAAAAGGGGCCCCCACACCCCCACCTGCAACTCCTTCCCCAAAAGGAGGTCCAGCTGCCCCATCCTCCAAAGGGGCCCCCACACCCCCAGCTGCAACTCCTCCCTCCCCAAAAGGAGGCCCAGTTATCCCACCCCACAAAGGGGCTCCCACTCCCCCAGCTGTGACTCCTCCCTCCCCAAAAGGAGGTTCAGCTACCCCATCCCCCAGAGGTGCCCCCACTCCCCCAGCAGCAATTCCTCCCTCCCCAAAAGGAAATCTAGCTGCCCCACCCCACAAAGAGGCCCCCAGTCCTTCAGTTGTAACTTCTCCCTCTCCAAAAGGAGATCCAGCTACCTCACCCCCCAAAGGGGCCCCCACTCCCCCAGCTGCAACTCCTCCCTCCCCCAAAGGGACCCCCACTCTCCCAACTACAACTCCCTCCTCTAAAGGAAGCCCAACTACCCCATCCTCCAAAGAGGACCCCACTCCCCCAGCTGCAACTCCCTCCCACAAAGGAGGTCCAGCTGTGACTCCTCCCTCCCCTAAAAGAGGACCAGCTATCCCATCTCCCAAAGGGGACCCCACTTCCCCAGCAGTGATTCCTCTCTCCCCCAAAAAGGCTCCAGCAACTGCAGTCACCAGAGAAGGCCCAACCACCCCATCCAAAGGCGATACCACTCCCCTCGCAGTGACTCCTGTCTCCCTCAAAAAGGCCCCAGCAACTTCAGCCCCCAAAGGAGGCCCAGCTACCCCATCCTCCAAAGGGGATCCCACCCTCCCAGCAGTGACTCCTCCTTCCCCCAAGGAGCCCTCAGTCCCCAAACAAGCTCCCACTTCTTCCTCTCCCAAAAAGGCCCCGGCAACTCCATCCCCCATGGGGGCCCCCATTCTGCCAGCTGTGATTCCTTCTTCCCCCAAAGAGGTCCCAGCTACCCCATCCTCCAGAAGGGACCCCATTGCCCAAATAGTGACTCCTCTCTCTAAAAAGACCCCAGCAACTCTAGCCCCCAAAGAGGCCCTCATTCCCCCAGCTATGACTCTTCCCTCCCCCAAAAAGAGCCCAGCAATTCCAGCCCCCAAAGAAGCCCCGGCTACCCCATCCTCCAAAGAGGCCTCCAGTCCCCCAGCAGTGACTCCTTCCTCTTACAAAGGGGCCCCTACTCCAGCTGTGACTCCTCCATCCCCCAAAAAGGGCCCAGCAACTCCAGCCCCCAAAGGGACCCCCACTTCCCCACCTGTGACTCCTTCCTCCCTCAAAGACTTCCCTGCCTCCCCAGTTTCTGTCACATGTAAAATGGGGGCCACTGTTCCTCAAGCATCTAAAGGGCTTCCAGCAAAGAAAGACCCCACAGCTCTCAAAGAAGTACTTGTTGCCCCAGCTCCAGAAAGTACGCCAGTCATCACAGCTCCCACTCGGAAAGGTCCACAGACCAAAAAGAGTTCTGCTACTTCACCTCCTATGTGTCCAGATCCCTCAGCTAACAATGGTTCTAAAGGACCCCTTTCCACAGTGGCTCCAGCCCCTCTACTCCCTGCTCAGAAATGCTCTTCAAAGACATCAAAAGGCAAAGATGCTTCTCATTCCCCAAAGGGCCCCTTGGCTCCTCCTGAGTCTAAGGCATCCACCCCTCTAACAGCAGCTGCCTCTGAGAAGGTCCTTCCTAAACCTGAATCAGCATCTGTCTCTCCACCACCCACCCCACCAGTCTCTCTGCCTCTTGCTCCCTCCCCAGTTCCCACTCTGCCTCCTAAACAGCAATTTTTGCTGTCCTCTCCTGGGCTGGTGTTGGAATCACCCTCTAAACCCCTAGCCCCTGCTGATGAGGATGAGCTGCCGCCTCTGATACCCCCGGAACCAATCTCTGGGGGAGTGCCTTTCCAGTCAGTCCTCGTCAACATGCCCACCCCTAAAGCTGCTGGAATCCCTGTCCCAACCCCCTCTGCCAAGCAGCCTGTTATGAAGAACAACAAGGGTATTTGCCTTGGTTTGCCGTGTGCATGGTGTGTCTGTTGCCCACACCCCTCTTGGGGGCTACCCACCAATACTAACTCTGTGATGCACCGCTTTCTCCAGTGAATCTGCTTGGGTTTGGACATAGAACATAGAATGATCATTTTAAATGCAAAAGCTCTAGGAATATGAAACAAAATCTTGGTTTTCATCACTTCAGATAGATATATAGTGTATTGTGTATCATTCAGTACAATGTGGCCCGGACTACCCTGAGCCTACCATGCCATCTATTTTACCTAGTTGATCTGACATTGAAAACCAAGACCTGCCAGACCTTTTAATTTGCTCTAATCCCTACCACATCACTAACTAACCTTGTCCCTGGGCCTGAGATTTGCTAAAACATTGGAGAATTGAACTATTTGTATTTCTTTTTCAATTCTTAGACTTAGTAATGACCAGGTGCCCAGGGACTTCCTTCTCATAAAAATGTAGAAACCTGTTTTTCCTAGCCTGAAAATGGTGCAGGTATATGCTTTTTTTCCTCAGTAGTCTTTACTGATGCTTGGCCTTTGAATTGAAATAAATTTATGTGAATTATGTTTGGAAAAATTAAGAGATACAGGTCAACATCATTGAGAATCTTCTAACTATATTGATTAGATCACATTGCTGGGGTGAATGGTTTGAAAATGAGGCTGAATATGTGCATGTGACTGCTTTTGACTTGCTCCAACCCCGTTTAAAAGTTGAGGGAATGGCCGGGCGCGGTGGCTCACGCCTGTAATCCCAGCACTTTGGAAGGCCAAGGCGGGCGGATCACGAGGTCAGGAGATGGAGACCATCCTGGCTAACACAGTGAAACCCTGTCTCTACCAAAAATACAAAAAAAGGCCGGGCTTGGTGGCTCACGCCTGTAATCCCAGCACTCTGGGAGGCCGAGGCGGGCGGATCACAAGGTCATGAGATCGAGACCATTCTGGCTAACATGGTAAAACCCCGTCTCTACTAAAAAAAAATACAAAAAATTAGCCGGGCGTGGTGATGGGCGCCTGTAGTCCCAGCTACTGGGGAGGCTGAGGCAGGAGAATGGCGTGAGCCCGGGAGGCAGAGCTTGCAGTGAGCCAAGATGGCGCCACTGCACTCCAGCCTGGGTGACAGAGTGAGACTCTGTCTCAAAAAAAAAAAAAAAAAGTTGAGGGGAAATCCAACCTACCTATTGTGCCTCTATGGTGTGATTTTGTTTTTTTCACTTAAGTGTATCTGGGGGCACCTTCTGACAGAATTTTACAGGGATAATTGGACTGTTGGGTAAAATTTAGAGTCAGTCATAGGGGTCATTATTTGCCTGTGCCAAGAAACAAAGACCTTGAGGGAAAGAAAGCAGTTACAGTATGTTAAACTGCTCAGCTATTTCTAGTGATTACTTTTCATTTCTGGGGTTAGGGCTGGGTCTTTACTAGATGTGTACCCACTAGTTAGTGACTAAGTTAGGGGCTATCAAGCTGGCCTCACACAAGCCAGTTGGTTTACATTTAACATTCTTAGGTCTTGCATGAAGCATTGACCTGTAGTCCAGGCAGGATGTAGTGAAGTACCTTCTCTTATAATTTCTACCATAAAGCAGTAAAAGTTGTTTCTCATTTTAGGGTCTGGAACAGAATCTGACAGTGATGAATCAGTACCAGAGCTTGAAGAACAGGATTCCACCCAGGCAACCACACAACAAGCCCAGGTGGGTATTCTCTTACTAACTGGTATTGGGTCAAGGAAGCAGGGTTGATCAGGGCAACTTTTGTATTTGGAACTGTGAACCTTCATAAAGGAAAACCCACAAGGAAATTGTGCTATCCGGATCTTGGATTCTGGTTAACTAATACCTGTTTTATCTTCTTAGCTGGCGGCAGCAGCTGAAATTGATGAAGAACCAGTCAGTAAAGCAAAACAGAGTCGGAGTGAAAAGAAGGCACGGAAGGTAAGATTTGAAAAGGATTTCAGGATCTAATGAAGCACCTTTATACAGAGTGGAACTCTTTATTTCCATAGGTTTTTGGGGAACAGGTGGTATTTTGGTTACACGAGTAAGTACTTTAGTGTTGATTTTTGAGATTTTAGTGCACCCATCACCCAAGCAGTATACACTGAACCCAATTCTTAGTAGTGGTAGAATCCTGTTTAAAGTAGCAGAAGTAGCTGGATTGGTGGCTCACACTTATAATCCCAGCACTCTGGAAGGCCAGGGCGAGTGGATCACTTGAGGTCAAGAGTTCAAGACCAGCCTGGCCAACATGGCGAAACCCCTGTCTACTAAAAATACCAAAAAAAAATAGCAGGGCGTGGTGGTACACTCCTGTAGTCCCAGCTACGAAGGTGGTTGAGGCACGGCAGTTGCTTGAACCTGGGAGGCGGAGGTTACATTGAGCCGAGATTGCACTCCTGCACTCCAGCCTGGGCGACAGAGCAAGACCTGTCTCCAAAAATTAAAAAGTAAAGTAGCAGAAGTTACTATGGCAGAAAACCCATTCTCTTTTTTTTTGCAACGGAGTCTCACTCTATCGCCCAGGCTGGAGTGCAGTGGCCGGATGTCAGCTCACTGCAAGCTCTGCCTCTCGGGTTCACGCCATTCTCCTGCCTCAGCCTCCCAAGTAGCTGGGATTACAGGCGCCCGCCACCTCACCTGGCTAATTTTTTTTTGCATTTTTAGTAGAGACGGGATTTCACCGTGTTAGCCAGGCTGGTCTCGATCTCCTGACCTCATGATCTGCCCGTCTCAGCCTCCCAAAGTGCTGGAATTACAGACTTGGGCCACCGCGCCCGGCCCCATTCTCTATTCTTGTATGAACTTTTCTCAGCCTGGGGAAAAGCTTTGCTTTGGTTGTTGTATTATGTTCCTTGCTTCTTTAGGCTGCTTCTAAAGAGGTTGCAAACCTTATACTATTTTCTCTTCTTTAGGCTATGTCCAAACTGGGTCTTCGACAGGTTACAGGAGTTACTAGAGTCACTATCCGGAAATCTAAGAATATCCTCTTTGTCATCACAAAACCAGATGTCTACAAGAGCCCTGCTTCAGATACTTACATAGTTTTTGGGGAAGCCAAGGTGAGTAAACTTTTCTTGGGCATTGTTCTAGACCAGGGTTTCTCAACCTCAGCACTGCTGACATTTTGCCTCTGGTAGTTCTCTGTTATGGAAGGGCTATCCTGTTCATTATGGATGCTTAGCAGCATTACATCCAGTTTTGATTACCCAAAAACTCCATTGCCATATATCTCCTGGGACACATAACTACCCCCTAGTTGAGAACCACCGCTCTAAACCTAAAAACTACTCTTTCTACTGCGAGTAAGGGCAAGCAGTTTAAAGCCGTACAATATGTTACCTGAAGTGGGTTTACAGAGAGTTGTGAAACTATATGATTTATTTTTCAAAGACTGCTGATCTACTCACGTGAATCTGTATTCTCTACCCTGTAGATCGAAGATTTATCCCAGCAAGCACAACTAGCAGCTGCTGAGAAATTCAAAGTTCAAGGTGAAGCTGTCTCAAACATTCAAGAAAACACACAGACTCCAACCGTACAAGAGGAGAGTGAAGAGGAAGAGGTATACTAGGAAATCTTTCATATGTTAACTGTCGCCATATAGCAATGTGTTCGTGTTGGTGAGCTATATTAAAAACTAGATTGAGGAGACTCCAAAGAACTGCTGAAATTGTTTTTGCCTTTAATTTACTGCTTTTTCCCTCTCCTCTCTTAGGTCGATGAAACAGGTGTAGAAGTTAAGGACATAGAATTGGTCATGTCACAAGCAAATGTGTCGAGAGCAAAGGCCGTCCGAGCCCTGAAGAACAACAGTAATGATATTGTAAATGCGATTATGGTAAGTGTTCAAGCCTTTGTTCCTTGACTCCCTCTGCCCTGACCAATTACGAGTGACTTTATTTTGTCTGCTAAATATCAGCCAATTAGGGAACCTCATTCCAGAGCCTCTTCTGAGTTGCTGTAGGTTTTAGTGACCTGAGTTCTGATTTGCCTATGAGAACCGCTAATTATCTTTTCTCTCTTACAGGAATTAACAATGTAACCATCTGAAAGCAACTTTTTTTGGTGTCTCAAAGGAGTAACTGCAGCTTGGTTTGAAATTTGTACTGTTTCTATCATAAATAAAGTTATGGCTTCTTGTTGGATGAACTCAGTCAATGACTGGTCTTTTCCCCGCCCCCCCCAAAACAAACAAAAAACTTGTAAAGGTTCTAATAATTTGTTAATTACTCCTAAGGCCTCCCTCATTTGATAAGGTTTAATGCCACAGATTTCCCGCTTAAAATCTCAGACTTTATACCTCTTTTAACAAGTCACTGGCCAGGCGCAGTGGCTCACACCTGTAATCCCAGCACTTTGGGAGACCAAGGAGGGGCGGATTACGAGGTCAGGAGATCAAGACCATCCTGGCTAATACAGTGAAACCCCGTCTCCACTAAAAATACAAAAAAATTAGCTGGGTGTGGTGGCGGGCACCTGTAGTCCCAGCTACTCGGGAGGCTGAGGCAGGAGAATGGCATCAACCCAGGAGGCAGAGCTTGCAGTGAGCGGAGATCGAGATCGTGCCACTGCACTCCAGCCTGGGCGACACAGTGAGACTATGTCTCAAAAAAAAAAAAAGTTACTTTACTAGGCTGTTAGGACCTTCCTAACTAGGAAATACAACCTGACTATAAAGTTTCTCATTTCTGACCAGGCGGGATGGCTCACACCTGTAATCCCAACACTGGGAGGTCAAGGCAGGTGGATCACTTTAGCCCAGGAATTTGACACCAGCCTGGAAAACATGGCAAAACCCTGCATCTACAAAAAATAGAATCACTGAGATCACCACTGCACTCTAGCCTGGGTGACAGAGTGAGACACTGTCTCAAAAAAAATTAGTTTCTCATTTCCACTTTCCCAGATGTTAACTGTTAGCAGATCCTGATTCTTCTGTATCTAGTAATCAGCCCCTTCACTGAACTCCAATCTTTCTGAATGCACACTGGGGCTTCTGTGTCCTCTGAGGAGTTTACATTGTAACTCCTCGACATATAAGAGCTTGGTAGGGAGTTGAAGAGGAGGTAGGAGATACATGAAAAGGCTCCCTCCTGAAGGGGAAGATTTTGAGTATATTGTAAACTTTCTGCTCTTAAGCAAATTCTCTACAGACATTTTAATCTACAAAGTAGCTTCTGATTGGGATAGCCATAATTATATATTAGGACAATAAATGAAAACAAGGACTGTCCCAGGCTAACTAAAACATAACAGTTAGTTTACAGATAGCTATGTAGGAATTCCAAGAAAAATAAACTGAGTTTGAGTTGTCAGAGAATGGTTTGAAAAAAATCAAAGGGCTACAATTTAGAAATGGGAAAGTTACAAGTAAATGTAGAGGCAAGAATCCTAAAATGAATATGTGAAAATACACCTAGAAGGAAGATGTTAAAATGGGAATAAATGTGGCTAACATCTAAAACTGGGCTTTAGAACTAAAGAAGTTAAGGCATTTTTATAGAATTCAGTCTTTTGGTCTCCTTAAAAAATGAGGCCAGCCGGGTGTGGTGGCTCACGCCTGTAATCCCACCACCTTGGGAGGCCGAGACGGGCGGATCACGAGGTCAGGAGATCAAGACCATCCTGGCTAATATGGTGAAACCCCGTCTCCACTAAAAAAATACAAAAAATTAGCCGGGCAAGGTGGCGGGCACCTGTAGTCTCAGCTACTCCGGAGGCTGAGGTAGGAGAATGGCGGGAACCCGGGAGGCGAAGCTTGCAGTGAGCTGAGATTCGGCCACTGCACTCCAGCCTGGGCGACAGAGCCAGACTCCGTCTCAAAAAAAAAAAAAAATACAAAAGAAAATTAGCTGGGCGTGGTGGTATGAGTCTATAGTCCCAGCTACTTGGGAGGCTGAGGCAGGAGAATGGCGTGAACCCGGGAGGCGGAGCTTGCAGTGAGCCGAGATCACGCCACTGCACTCCAGCCT